CTTTCCCATTTTGAAATTGAACTAGTTGGTTTTTTGCTGAGTTGTATGAATTCTTTATAAATTCAGACATTAGCCCCTTATTAGATACATGATCTGCAAATATTTTTTCCCCTTCAGTAAGTTGCTTTAGTAGGACTATCTCTTGACTCTGCTTCTCTCCATGAGTCTACTTCATTCTTCATTTTGTGGACTAGTTCTCTCTCTTCTCCTGTCTGCTACGTCCACAGCAAAAAAATGTGCCCATTATATAGCCATTCCTAGAGAACTCATCTGCATTCTTATTCCTACTCTCCATCCCCTGTGCCTCTCTCTTCTTTTCTTCATTTCCTCCACATTCCTTGGTTCAGATCTCTGACTAGTCCATCTTGGGTCAGCAGTCTACCCTTGGTCCAATCACCTATGGCTAGTGGGATAGAGTCACGTTCTACAAACAAGACTCTAGGCTTTGATTACCGTGGATGAAAGAAAGGGGAATCCATGTAAGAAATTAAAGATGTTGCTGTGTACTGTACAGTTATTTTCAAAGGTGACATGGATCAAAATAACATGAGAATGAAAGACTCTTTATCATGAAAAAGTTTTCAACACATGTGAAAACAGAGCCATTAATATAATGAACCTCACCATCACCCAGCTATGGATATTTACTCATATAAGCACAATGCTATTACTATGCCTAACAAAATCAATATTTTCTTGGTGTCATCTACTATCCTGTCAATATTTAAATTTCCCCAATGGCAGGAAACCTTTTTGTATTTGTTTTTTTCAAACCAGGATCTAAACAAGATCCTCATGTTACATTGGTTTTATGCCTCATAAATCTCTTTTCACATAGAGCCGTCTCCCTCCTCCCACTCTCTGACTCAGTTTTTATGACATCGACCTATGAAGAAACCATGTTTGTTGTACCTACTGAATGTCCCACATACTGGATTTTGTCTGTCTGCTTCCTCATTATGGTCTCATAAATAGAATTTAGTTAAAAAGACTTGATTTATTTCAAGTTCAACATGTGTTGAAAGTACACTTCATAGTGAGGCTGTGTGTTTCCTGCTGCTTCAAGTTCATGATCATTCAATGTCTAGTTGTCCCACTCTTAGTTATGCTGACTGATCAGTGGTTTCAGGTAGTAACAGCTTGATCTCTTCCTTGTAAGGGTCATTATCAAACATTTGCCTAAAATTTTCACCCATTGACTACTTTTGCCTGAATTATTTCATTAGGTACGACAAAATGGAAGTGAGATGATTCTATGGGTGGGGGACAAGTCCCTATGTACCTTTCCTCGGTATTGCCAGATTCTCCTCCATTGGAGGTGTACCATCTTGTATTCCAACCAACAATGTACAAGAGAGTATTATTATATTTCACTCCAGTATGACCAACCCAGTATATTTTCAAAGTTCTGATCTTCACTGATATGATAGGTGAGAAATGTTATCTCAGAGTGGATTTAATTGGCATTTCTCCTATGATGAGTGAGGATGAGGGGACTGGGTTTTGAAAAAGAAAAAAAAAAGGGAAGAAGGCCCCAGTGATGATAAAGATTTTGAGCATGCACCAACTGATTTCCTCACTTTGGTCAAAAAATATCCTCACGCCAAGCTTGGTACCCAGTTTCCTCTTTTACCAGTAAAAATTCTTTACTGGAAATTCAATAGCACATGGCCCTAGGCCACACAAAATAAATTAGGATTTGAAAGCATAGCTCTCTGGTAACAAGTTTCTTGATGAATGTCACTCCATTACACCAACAGCAGAGCAGTGGGATTTCCAAAGAACAAAAATCTGCTACAAGGAAGTTCAATGTAAGACAGATTCCCATAAGTAGGTGGACAGCTTAGGCAAAGCAGCAAGACTGAATAATCTTCTCTTTAAGCATTAAGAGAAGTAAGGAAGAATCATGAGCACATAGTTCTTATTTTTATAAATACGTACTTGAGATATGTAGCAAGTCCTATAGATATTTGAATAATGCAGCTGCATACAGAGAGAAATTCACATATAGTTTACACCAATTGCCATTGTACAGTAGTGATTGTGGGAGTTAAGTAAATGTGATCCAATTGGATTACAGATGTGTTCACATGGCTTATTCTGTCTGAAATTAATTAACAATATGTAGATAGTTTGATTGCTCAAAAAGGCCTTGGAGCACATGAAAAAGTGTTCAACATCACTCAGCATCGGGGAAATACAAATCAAAACCACAATGGGATACCACCTCACACCAGTCAGAATGGCCAAAATTAACAAGTCAGGAAATGACAGATGTTGGTGAGGATGTGGAGAAAGGGGAACCCTCCTACACTGTTGGTGGGAACACAAGCTGGTGCAACCACTCTGGAAAACAGTATGGAGGTTTCTCAAAAAGTTGAAAATAGAGCTACCCTATGACCCAGCAATTGCACTACTGGGTA